CCTGTGTATTTGTACTTTTACTTAAGTACATTTTTTGAGTACTTTCTCCACCACTGATTATACAACACTAACCAAGTAAAGAGTATCTGAGCATTTTTACTCAATGAATCGATCAAATTTGACTTGTTTTCCATTTTAGAATAGTGTCTTAAACGAAGTGCTTTCCATCAGTGCAGTAATAAAAACTGTCTAGAGTAAAAACAGATAAAAACTAAAGAAAGTGACATTGGTGGAAACATAAAAGTGTCACAATGCTAAAAACAGGCCTAAACAAATGCGTTTTTAGCTTAACTTTAAACTAAAATAGATCACCTATGGTCCATGATTACAATTTAATGTTTCTGCAGTCTGAAACAAAGCCTTCTCAAAGAGTTGTCTTATTACTGGGATGTGTGGTCCAGTTAAAAAAAAGTCAGGGAAATATAAATATCCACCCACATTGTTCTCAGACCAACATGAATGTGGCATTTTTAAGTAAATAGGATGATCCTCAAGACTACATCACTTTATATGTACGTGTGTGCATGCGTGTATCTTTGTATATGCTACATATGGACGACCATTATAGCCATTTTTAGCAATAAAAGGGGGTAATTTATGGAAAGTGAGGACATTTTCCTACTCTTCTTTTTTAAATTGGAATGCTCTCTACTAGTTAAGTTTAGAGGTATGGTATAAATAAAGTTTTGGTTAAGGTTACGGTTATGAATGGTTAGAGTTGGGGAAAATGTCTGGATTAGGCACAAATGGAGTTCCTATTTGAGTCTGTGTGTATATGTGTGTATATTAGCATTTGACTCACCTTTGAATCATCACTTCTCCAACAAACATCAAGTTCTACGGACCCACTGGTTCTATCTATCTATCTATCTATCTATCTATCTATCTATCCATCCATCCATCCATCCATCCATCCATCCATCCATCCATCCATCCATCCATCCATCCATCCATCCATCCATCCATCCATCCATCCATCCATCCAATCAATTAAGAAACCATTGGACTGAAAACCTTGTGGTTAGTCCAACAAATACTGATTTCTGATCTCTTCCTGAGTTAACACATTAGTATTGCTGTTTCTAACTGAATATGAACTTGTTTTCTTTGCATTATTTGAGCTCTGAAATCACTGCATGTTTTTTCATTATTTTCACCATTTCTCTTTTTCTGCAAATAAATAGAAAAATTTTGCTCAGAATTTTGGAGACACGTTCTCAGTAGTTCATAGAATAAACAGAACAATGCTCATTTTACTCAAACATGTACCTACACAAAGTAAAGTCAGAGAAGTTGATAATTTTAAGTGGTCTCTTAATTCTTTCCAGAGCTGTATATATACTTGTTAGCTTGTTTGCATTGTTCTGTGAGGATCGCCACCATGCTCAGGGTGTTTCCAGCCCAGCGATGATGTAATGTATGCTGTGGCCAAGCTTCTTGTTTGTAGAGTCACATGTCACGTCTGAGACTTTGTACGGAGCAGCAGAAAAAGGCTTGAAATTCCCACTGATTGCTTTCTTTATATCTGATCTCAAATTAGCTTCATTGGCTTGGGAAATTATTAAAAATTTTTGTTGATTTTATTCTGCTGAACATGATTTGGCCTGTTATGAATTCAAAGTGCTGGGCAGAGACTCTCCATTCCTGTTACCTAAAATCATTTCCTTTATGACCAACTTAAAAAAAAAAAAATAGAAAACATCATCGTCATCATCATAAATTTAAAGGGATTGGTGGTGAATCAGTGCCTGATGAAGAATGGTGTTTACACTGTGCTCCTCTGTGCCTCTTGCTTTACAATCACAGATGTGGAGGGAAGGGGAGGACTGCTTTGTAAGTATAGTGTTTATGCCTGGACAAATATAGTCACACAGCTATGCCACCATAGCATGTTGGACCTCATCTCTGTGCAGCTAAAAATTCCCGCCTGACCTTCACTCTTGGAAGGCACTGACTGGTCACAAGGCTTGAGAAAGCCAACTCAGAGGGAGCTCGGAGAGAGAGGGAGACAGATCTACAGTAGAGACTGCGTGCTTTCCCATTCCAAACACTTCTCCCTCTTTTTTAAACACACCCCGCTATTGCAAATTGCGCACCATGGAAACTATACCCAGGAGACCACAGCCAGCTGTCACACAAGACATGAAAGTTGGTGGATTCTGCTAGCCTTTGTCATGACTCAGGACGGTCCTAGATACCATGTCGTCATTCACCGCAACAGACAGAATGGCGGTTTGCTGGAGTAAGGCCAGCGTGATCAGCTTCATCAAAGGTCTGGGTAGGTGCTGAGTTTTTCATGAATGAGCAAAGCGTGTACTGAAAGCTGTAAAAGGTTGCCACGCATACTGGGCATTCCTTGGAAGGCTTCGACTGTTTCATGTCCTGAAAAGACCTGCTGGAAACTTGTGGTGGAACTAAAAGGACTCTTTAGCTAGTTGTTTGCAGATTAGTCAGAACTCTAGAGTCTTAATTAGGTGCTAAAAATAGCATTACTGGTCTTTCTGTTGTTTACAATGGTTGACGTGTGAAGTTTAGACTCCCCTTTCACTATGGTGTGCACTTTCTTCCAGCTAAAAAAGATTCATCTGGTAAAACAAATTTGTACAAAGGGGCCTCAAATAATTTGACCAATTTCTGTCCTGTGGTTTTTCTAAAGCTTTGACCTGCCAATAGTAATTTTAGCTGATTATGATTTCTTAAGAACTACAATGTAATCCCACCATTTTTGTTGTGAGCTGTGATCAAATATGTATTTATTTCAAAGCTAAGACAAATTACTCTGATGTTTAGCGTCTCATATTAGCATATTAGCTAAAGTTCTCTAAAATTCAAGAAGGCTTTGAGGATTTTTTTTTTATTTTTTATGTCAGAATGTTCCACAGTGGAAAAATAGTTGAAAGCTCAAAAGTATAAGAAAAAGAACAAAATTGCTGTGTGTTATTCAGTCATCCTGTTATCCGCTGAAAGTCTTGCTCTCTCTGACAGCCAGAATCACTGAAATTTTGTGTCTTTTAGAAATAGCTTCTTATATTTTTCCTCTTCCTCGACTGACTCGCCTTTGTGATGCAGAAACTTTAATTCCTCAACACTCAGTACCAGTGTGCAAACCAAAGTGCCAGCTTGACCTGGCAGCACTCATGTAATATTTGTTCAGTGTTTGAAAATCCATCAGATTTCTCAATTTCTGACTGGCTGTTCATCAGCTTTTTGTCTTGGTGAATCTCCTTTTCTTTAACTCTTTCATCATATTAATTTAACAATTAAGTGTGAAAAGTAAGTGTCTTAAGAAATCTGAACATTTCTTTGTCGTGTCTTAAATAAAATCAACAAGGAACGGTTATATGCTGTGCAAAAGATATGCTTCACTTCCGCTTTTGTCCAGTCAGTTATTTCATCCACATGTAAACATGTAATTTCCTGAGTTAAATGTCTCAGTTTGAGATGCTGGCACTGATTTCAGGACTATTTGAAGCTCTTTTCTGTCTGGAGGCAGTAGAGTGAAACACTGGGGTAAATCTTTAACTCATGAGGATAACTTAAGGTCCAGGTTTTCTTTGTTTGAGTTTTGTCTCTCCTTTGCCATTTTTTTGGGTAGACTCAGTGAATGCAAGCGAGGATGGATTCGATTATTGTAAAATTTAGAGAACAATTGTGCTGTACTTGGAAAAGTAAAAAAAAAAAACAAAAAAGCCCACAGGGAATGTAATTCTTTATTTGAAATAGAAATACAAATTACGTTCAGAGCAAATATAGATTTTCAATGTATTTGTCATGAAAACATATTCCTAATCATTAAGGTATTATGGAATTTAGTAAAACTGAGAAAAAGTAGTCGCATTAGTGTGTTGTCTGTTTTCTACATACAATCTGAGGAAACCTCAGCTGTCCCAGACATTGGAAAACTCTAGTTGATGGGATGTTATGACCTAAGTCAAGCCACCCCTGTTTAAACATTGTCCAAATCACAGCACTGCCTGAAGATGGTCACATGTTCAAGGCTCCCACTTCCTTGTAGGGCCGATGACATCGCTGGTACAAAATGAAAACACCAGCTGCCGACCGTGGTGTTTTAATTTCCATATGGGCCCTGCTCTGTGTGACTGCAGGAATGAAAAAGCAGTCGAAGGGCAAACCGGTGCCCTTTTGACAGTCATGCTGTGGAATGCTCATCAAGTTGGGAACATTTTGTCCATGTTTGGGAAAATTCTCTCGAGCGCCCCGTTTGCTTGTCTCCTCTTCTGTATAGACTCGTGGCTAATCATGCCCCCTTCATTTGAGCTTTAGTTAACAATGTCCTTTATAACTAAGTAGTTTCTAAAACCATACGTGTGTGCTTGTGTCCTTTCTTCAGCTTCACCAGTGGGGAACGGTTACAGTAAACCTCCCATACCTCCAGTCTGTTGTCCTCAGGGAGAGAAAGGTCCACCAGCCATGATGCCCATCACCATCGACCCGGAGAGCCGGCCTGGCGAGTACGTCCTCAAGAGCCTCTTCGCTAACTTCACCACCGTGTCTGAGCGCAAGATCCGCATTATCATGGCCGAGCCGCTGGTGAGTGAGAATGACGGTGTGAACGCTTGCTGCTCCTAAGGAGTCCAACTTGATTGTAGCCCAACTTTTCTTCATATCAAATGTTTGAATTGATTTGAAGGAGGAAAAAATAATCTGCAAATGAAATAAAGACAATATACTTTACTGCACAAAGAAAACCTGTACGGCTGACAACTAACTGATGTAGATCAGTGCATTTTAATGTTGGCAACACTCTCAAAACTGACCTTTAGCCAAACTTCACCAACTGTTTTAAACTGCAGCAGGACACTTACATGGAGCTTAACCTCCATATTCACAATTCTGATGACATGTCCTCCAGAAATAGTTTTTCTATTATTTTTAACCAGGCTTATGCACTCATGACTCTGTATTCTCTAAGCGTACTGTGGACAAACCATTGCTGAATATGGAGGCTGTTAATCTGTGACCTCAGTCGGCATGGAAGTGTTAAATATGCAGGGAAAGTGTCTAGTTCTGTGTCTGTTTAATACTCCCTAGAGGAATGTAGAAAGGAGGTTTCCTCTCCACATTCTTCTGACAAGATGAGTAATTAATATCAGCTCAATGTTACAGGCACACAGTAACTTCCCGCTAATATTATCGTTGAAGCCAGTATTTTATCTAAAACTCTTAGTAGTTTGTAGATGTTTTTAGCTAAAACACTTGTGTCTGTAAAAAACAAACACTATCCTCATCCCCAAACAAAAGCAGGATTCTCCAGTGAAAGCATTTGCTAAAAAAGCTAAAAGGTTCATCAGAGTTTGTGGCTTAGCGGCTTGACAGAATTGCAAGCGAGAGAGTAGGATATTTCCATCAGCCCACACAATTGTCAGTGTCACACACATCAGGCTTTCTGCTATTTGGATTAATCAGCAACGAAAGTGCTCTGAACTGCTGTTTGGCTGATGAAATTCTCCTGGGTCAGGTTAGACAAAAGGCAAAGGAGGCAATTAGAAAGAAAAGTGGTTTGGATTTGATGGTAAATATGTCAAATTTTTACTATGTTTAATTTACATTATGTAATATTTATATATTACATGTTGATTTAATTTAACACAGTGAAAAAAAACTAATAAATGTGTCTTTTTATTCAGTGTAAGTAAACTTCTGGTTTCAGCTGTGTGACTTGCACTGCTACCTGTAAGCAGACAGATGAAGAATGAGTTCAAAAGTGGTCCTATGTTGTTTTCTGACAGATTGGCTGAAATTAGGAGCTTAAAACTAAATATTAATTGCTATCTTTTACAACTGAGTTGTAAATAAGTAAATATTGTTTTTCATTTTAGGAAAAGCCATTGATAAAGTCACTACAGCGGGGAGAGGATCCTCAGTTTGACCAAGTAAGTGCAGAGAAATGCTTTTAACTGCAAGAAGTGCTTCTCTTGTCAACATATTACTGAATTTGGTTATTTTTCACATGTTCACTACAACCTCCAAGCACTTGTGTTTAATGCATTTCTGTGTGTTCTGTGGCAGATGTATTTTTCACACGTCAAATATAAATGTGACTTTACCGCAGTGAACGGGTTGAAAGCTCTGCTCACATCCCAAAAGGTCTTTCAGGTTCACTCGCTGTTTACCTTGTGACTTGGCCCCAGCTCGGCACAAGGTGTGTCCTGCAGGTTTGTGGTTATGCAGAGAAGGCCTTTTTCACAGCCACAGAGGTGTGTTTGTGCTGCTGCGCGAGGCCATTCAGTCGCTCTACAGAGCCCGGATTCTTCTGGAGCCTGGTGCTGAATGAAGGGCTCGCTGTGTTGCCCCAGTCCAACCAGACTCTCCTCCCTTCCTGTGTGCCCAGCCTGTTCCTTCCTTTGCTGGGACCTCCCCCAACATTAAGGGAGGCTGCCCCGTGGGCACGGTCCCGTAGAGAACCAGCTTTGCCCAATAATCTTATTTCACTCCTTTCATTTAGTCTTAAATGTGCCCTAATTTAGTTTTGCTCCATTTAACTTTTAAGTGCTTGAATCCTAATGAGATGCAAATAAATCTGTGATGTGTGTTGGAGCTTTAGCTGAAATTGCTGCACAAATAAACAAAGGAAGCACTGATTGCTATCTCCTGCTTTGGTATGTTAACTGCTAAACAGTAATGTGCATTTGCACCATCTATGTCTGGTTCCTCTAGTTGATAAGCGCCATGAGCTCACTGGCTGAGTATAGTCTTCCCTCCATCCTGCGCACTTTGTTTGACTGGTACAAAAGACAGAACGGACTCGAGGAAGAGCTGCACGAATACCGACCAAGAGCCAACACAAAGTCCAAAAAGTGAGAACATGAAGACAGATTAGCTTAACCACAAATGATTCCATTTGTAAAGAAACACCAGTTTTTCTTTTTCTATGATCATAACATTTTTCTTCCCAACAGTGATGAACAACAGAGAGATTATCTACTTGAAAGGAGAGATTTGGCCATTGACTTCATCTTCTCTCTTGTTCTTATAGAAATTTTAAAACAGGTGACTTTTGTTCTAACCTTTGTCTCACAACAGCTGCTTTTGCCATTTTTTTTATTATTATTATTTTGAAGTCTAAAACTTTCACCCTCATTCTGTTGTTTCAAATAGATGCCGCTCTACCCTGCCCTTGACGGTTTGGTCAATGAAGTCATTAACTTAGCCTTTAAGCACTTTAAATACAAAGAGGGGTAAGATTTAATCACTTCTAGTGCGACTTGATTTTATTTATTTATTTTTTCAGGTCCACATTGTTCAGACATGTCAAATATTTTAAACTGTTTTATATTTTGTCACAAGCTTTCATGTTTTTTCATTGGGATTTGACATTTTTGCAGTAATAATGAATGTGAATACTATTCCTAAGCAGTGAAAGTTTAGTTTTCAGCTAAAACAAATCTACATTCGGACTTCCAATAAAATTTTAAAACCAAGTCTGGCATTATTTTTCAATTAAGCCAAATACAGAAAAATTTAGCACAGATTTATATGAATCATGTAGACATGCCACACTTTCTGGATATTTTTTGGTCATTCTACAACTTAGTCATGTTCTACTTTTTGTTGACCAATGGCATAAAATAAAATATGAAAAATGTTGTGGTTATAACATGAAAAATTACAAGAAAGTTCAGTGTGTATAAATACTTTTACAAAGTGGTCTTTCTAAATCATTAGTCTTCTTAATGTTGCAATTTTTCCCCAACAGATACCATGGTCCAAACACTGGCAACATGCACACTGTAGCAGACCTCTATGCTGAAGTCATAGGAGTGTTGGCTCAGTCAAAGTAAGCATGATTATATATATTTAAGTTTCTGCTTGTTGTGTGAGGACTTTCTGAAAAAGACATGTTTTATGAGTTTGAAAGACACTTTAAGACAAGTCTTTAATGCCAAACTAGTACTGGAAAATATTGTGCTTATTTGAACTTTTGGGATCATTACAGCAGGGAGGAAATCCTTAAAGCAGACGTACGAGCTGCAGGTCTGCTTTCAAACTATGCTTTGCTTAATTTGACTAAATATCTTGAGACATGCTATTCATATTTTTACTCAATTTTAGATTGAGATTTTAGAGATAATTCCATCTCTGGTATGTTTCAAGAATAGAATAAGTGTTAGATGAGAAATTTGTCCTGGGCCTCAAATCTATTTATTATATGTTGATGGAAGAAGCATGTCTTCCATCAAGACATGGATGGAAGACATGCTTGAACCTTGCCACTTTTCATTTTTGTCACAACTGTCAGCTTTACTTTCTTAATAGCAATTGAGGCTTCTTCATGTACGTGCTCATAAAACATTACACATTTTCAGGTTTCCTGCTGTAAAGAAGAAGTTCATGACTGAATTGAAGGAGCTGAGGCAGAAAGAGCAAAGTCCGTATGTCGTTCAGAGCACCATCAGCCTCATCATGGGGGTCAAGTTCTTCCGAGTGAAGATGTATCCAGTCGAAGACTTTGAAGCTTCTTTTCAGTTCATGCAGGTGCAACAGAATTTACAGTGTGAACACTTAAGTGAAACTTGGCTCTCTTTACTGCTTGCTTGTTGAGTGTTGATCTTACATTTTCTAGTCTTTTATTGTCTTTAAGGTAATGAATAGCAAAGACTTTTTACAAAATTCGCAATTCTGCAAACTGTTGCTCTCTTGTTTGCAGGAGTGCGCCCAGTATTTTCTAGAAGTCAAGGATAAGGACATTAAACATGCTCTGGCTGGTGTTTTCGTTGAGATCCTGGTGCCTGTTGCTGCGGTAAATTTCTTCATCCTATAAATGATGCAATTATTACTCAATAATGTTCAGCCAAGAATTGAAATATTGAAAAGTACCAAAAAAACAATATTTTCTTACTGCAAGAGCACATTCGAAAAATAGTTTTAGTATATTTATTCTGTGCAAAATAAACTTAAAATATTTTCAAATGTGATATTGATAAAATGACAGGATAAATTATAAAATAAACAGACATCTGCCGCTATTTTAAAATATTATTATTACTATTATTGAAATAGTAAAAAAAAAACACAACCAAATATCTGACAAAAACAATGACAGTATGCAGAATATTAAGATATTGCTCCTCATTTTGTAGAGGCCTCCCATCTTTGCATTACATACTTGTTATAAGACTGATATCCATCTAGATTTTTAGAAACTAATTGTAATAATAAATAATTAAACCATATTGATACTTTCCCTTATTAACTTAAAAAGAAAAGTAATGCTCCTCTGTTTTCAGCAGTGTTTTTGTCCTCCTCATAATATATATCCACTGTGTTGTTGGTCAGAAAACTATAAATTGGTTCTCTTGAATGTTTCAACAATGTAATGATCAAAAACCAAGACAGAAGTGGTTCACTAGACATAAAATCTTCCGTCTTCCATGGCTTGCATGGACAACAAACCAAATCCCTGGTGCTAAATAGTGTGCCATTATCTCTTATTTCTTAACGAGGGTTTGTTAAACAAATAATAATTTAAAAAAAAACAAACAAAAAAAAACATGCTGAATGTCAGATTATATCACTACAGGAACAATTAATTTCCACCTTTTATTGAGTTTGATCATGTCGACATGAGAAATGATTCTCCAGATTATATTTTCTGGTCCATTTTAGGCAGAAATCTCAACGTTTAACCTTAATCTTGATCTCGCTCTAGGCCGTGAAGAACGAAGTGAATGTACCCTGCCTGAGGAACTTTGTGGACAGCCTGTACGACACAACTCTGGATCTGTCGTCAAGAAAGAAGCACTCACTGGTTAGTTATGGGGCAGAAACAGACAGTGATTGTTGGTTTTGTTTGTTTGTTTGTTTTATGTTTCTGGTTTTACCGTGGCAGCCTCTGTTGTATGGTGACAGTTGTGTAAACTTATTTCAGAGTTGCAGTTTGTGTCCAAACTACAAATAATTTATAAGAGCAGTCAGATTGTCAAAAGAAGCTTGAAAGCAGGGCTCTATGTGCTTTTAAGTGTAAAGCTCCAACCCCATGAAAGGGCTATAAATAAAACTCACAACTTCACACAGAAAGGCAACAAAAGCATCCCCAATAAAAGTGGAAATCTGCATTCTCTGGAGAGGCAGCGTTTGCAACAGACACATGTTATGAAGTATCCACCATCAATAAGTAGCATAACAGAAGAAAACCTCATTGTGTCTTTGTGAGAAATCAGATTTTAAAATGCAGTTTGGAGAGAGTTTCCTTGATTTGCTTCTGCAATGTTCATTATGCCTGGATATTTCTAAGTAGTTTTACGTTTTACTCACATTATGACCAAAACTCTTGTCTAAACTTTTGCTTTCATTTTCCCAGGCCTTTTATCCACTGGTAACCTGTCTGCTGTGTGTGAGTCAGAAGCAGTTCTTCCTTAACAGATGGCACGTCTTCCTCAACAACTGCCTTTCAAATCTCAAGGTAACGTCTAAACCAGATTGTAGTTCTTTACTGGAAGTGCTTTTTGTTAAATTTTTAATGTAATTGGATACTTTAAATGGCAGTATGACTGCAGGAAGTATTTTTGACTATATGCAAATGTGAAGTACTATTAGTTTTTGTTCAGGTTTTACAGCAACTTTCTTTTTTTTATCTTACAGAGTAGAGATCCTAAAATGGCTCGTGTTGCTCTGGAGTCCCTGTATCGCCTGTTGTGGGTTTACATGATCAGAATAAAGTGTGAAAGCAACACAGCAACCCAAGGGTAAATCTATTTACCCTGCTTTATTGCTAGTAGTTTACAGTAATTTCATGCCTCAGCACTAAATTAGCATCCCCAGATGTTGCCGTATTTTTATTTGTATTTATTGTGTCTTTAAAAAAGTATTCATAACTCAAGAAAGCAACATATTGCAAAGAACTTCTATTTAAAAAGAGAACCATGCATTCTCTTCTTTCCACTTTATAATGTTTCTGAAATAGTTCAAGGTACTGAAATACTTTTACAGGACATAAAATGTAAGGTTAAAGGAGGTTTTTTCGTGTTTAAGAGGTGTGAAACGTATCTTGAAAGTGAATTTTTATAACCCCATTATTCTAAAACAATGTTTGTGTGTGTTCACAGTCGTCTGAGCACCATCATAACGACGCTTTTCCCTAAAGGGTCTCGCAGTGTGGTGCCGAGAGACATGCCCCTCAATATATTTGTCAAAATCATTCAGTTTATTGCGCAGGTAAATGCAATGTGCTGTGATTCTCTCAGTAGATGTTATTGACACTCAGGTTAAGATCTGTGAAATAAGCACGCTTCTCCTATTTTCCTGCAGGAAAGATTGGATTTCGCCATGAAGGAAATCATTTTTGACCTTCTCTGTGTTGGAAAACCTGCAAAAGCCTTCAGTCTTAATCCTGAGGTACGTCATCTACTTTGTCACTGAGACAGTTTTCAATAAAAAAAATATACAACAATACTGATGCAAAATGTAGCCTATTAAAATATTAGTTACAGTTGTACTTTCTTTCTTCTATTTTAAATTTAGAAAGTGGATTTATAGCATAAAATACGTGTAGAAATGATTGCATTTATTTCCTTTAATTTTTTTTCACTAGTGTTGTGTTAAAAAATTGTTAACATCTTCTGTTTTGTTCAGAGAATGAACATTGGTCTGAGAGCGTTCTTGGTCATCGCCGACAAACTGCAGCAGAAGGACGGAGAGCCTCCGATGCCGAATACCGGTTGCTCTTTGCCCTCTGGGAACACGCTCCGAGTGAAGAAGACATACCTGAGCAAAACGCTGACTGATGAGGAGGCCAAAGTCATCGGTGAGAGAGACAAACCACGATCAGGAATATTAAAAATGCTTATATATTCATACCGACAAGAAATGTGCATAGTTTATGTAACATTATGTTTGAACAGTGTCAATATATTTGGTCTTTAATTTCTTGTTTTATTTTATCCCTTAGAAGAAAAATATCATACATCTGACATAAAATATCTTTTAGCCATTTTTTTTTTTTCAAAATATGTATCAATTTTATTTTATTTTATTTTTTTTAATTCTTAGAGTAGTGGCTTCTTATCTGATTAATTCCTTCTAACTTGCCCTCTTCTTGTTCAGGGATGTCCCAATATTATGTTCATGTGCGGAAAGCGATTGACAGCATCCTAAGACACCTTGATAAGGAGGTGGGACGCTGCATGATGATGACAAATGCTCAGATGCTGAATAAAGAGCCAGAGGACATGATCACGTAAGAAAAACTATTTGTCCACAATCACTTACGTTGCTTTTTTTTTTTTTTTAGTATCACATTAATTGATCAGTTTGACAACAAAGCAAGATTAAAGTCAGGTGGTTTTTTTAAATGTGATTTTTCAGGGGTGAAAGAAAGCCAAAGATAGACTTGTTTAGGACTTGTGTTGCTGCCATTCCTCGCATCCTTCCTGATGGGATGTCCAAACCTGAACTCATCGACCTCCTCTCACGGTGAGTCACACATCTCAGAGGAACAGTCTGTGTAGAGAAAATTTATATTTGGCTCATCTTGGCTTTAATGACAGCATTATCTAAGGTTAAATGCACAATTAATATCTGTATGCCCATAGGTGTTTTTTAAAGATGCATGGAGGGAAAAGTCAAAAATGTATATCTCAATGTAATGTAGTCATGTAGCAGCAGAACATTTTAGTTCTTACGCAGCAATTAGTGTCAAGGCTTGTAAATCCCAGTATTTTCCCCATTGAATTTCTGCATGTCAGACATAAAACTTAAACTTTCTACATGAGAACCTCTGGATTTTGTCTGGTTTGCCAGGTTGACGATCCACATGGATGATGAGCTTCGCCTCATAGCCCAGAACTCCCTGCAAAGTCTGCTGGTGGATTTCTCTGACTGGCGTGATGACGTTTTGCTTGGATTCACCAACTTCCTGTTGCGTGAGGTTCAAGACACCCACCAAGGGTTGTTAGATACGTCCCTCAGATTACTGCTGCAGCTGCTCACACAGTGGAGAATAACCCTGGCGTCTTCTGGAAAGAGCCATGACCTCGCTAAGCTACATGCTGTCGAGGTGAACTGGAGTTTCTACACATATTATGCATTTAGCAAATGGGTTGTCTGCCTGAGGCTGATGCTCCAGGATACACCTAGTGCAGATAATTTAATTGCGATTTATTTATTTTGTGTTATTAGATACAGAAATTTAACAATTGTTTCAATTTTCACAGCTGCTGAATTCTTGCTCGGGCCATAAGATGCCTGCAGACAGAGGTCCTCACTCCACTGTGCTGCACGCTGTGGAGGGACTGGCACTCGTACTGCTCTGCTCTTGCCAGCTGAGCACCCGCAGACTCGCCATCGCTGTACTCAAAGAGATACGGAGTCTTTACTTGACAATAGGCCAGACCGAGGTAAATCAAAGACACACCAAAACTATGTAAAAAGAAGTAAAGTGTAAAATGTAGTTGAGTTGAATGTTTGATGTTGAGAGTTTGCATTTTTTTATTGTTTTGTAAACTGCAGGATGATGAAAAGCCAATGATAGAGATAATGGATCAGCTCAGCCCTGTTATTATGGAGAGTTTTATCAACGTAGCTGTCTCTGATGCAGTAAGTTCCTTCTGTTGGCTATCGGATCTACTTAGATTCTATTTACCGTCTTAATTTCAGGCGAGTTGTTGGCAAGCCAGTAAGCTAGGTTGAAAACAAGATAATAGCTAGTAGGAGAGTTCAGTCACATGTAAAGATTGCAGGTTTCTCAGCAAACAAATTACTCCTAAAACACACTTAAGTTGGTGACTAGAATGGAGCTGGTTCAAAAAGGATATAGTAGTATATATATATATACATATATATATATATATATATATATATATATATATATATATATATATATATATATATCTTTTTTTTTTTTTTTTTTTTTTTTTTT